CACTCTAGGGATATCAGGAACTGACTAGTGGTGTCTAAGATCTTTGGGGCCATACTATAGTGTCACTTTCAGCAATATCAGCTTCTGAAGGTTTTCAAATCCCTACAAGGATGTTTTAGAAATCACTGTGGTCATCAGAACCTCAGGGTCCACTGATATGTTTGGAGAGATGGACCTATAGAAATCTGATATAAAGTCTTACAAACCCTCCCAGGTATATATAAGAATGAGTTCCAACACAAGCAGATCTCTAACTCTACTTCTATCATGAGAGAGAGAGAGGGAAAGAGAGAAAGAGAGGGGGGGAGGGCAGAGGGGTCTGTGTGTGTGTGTGTGTGTGTGTGTGTGTGTGTGTGTGTGTGTGTATGCTTGTGAATGCATGAACATTCAGGATCCTCAAACATCAGCCGTGCTTTCCTAAATGGGAGGTAATCAGGATCCAGGAGCCAGGTACTGGTGGTGTTGGACCCCGTTGTCTGACTCATGATGTTCAAGACCACTTCAGTCACATCTGTCCTCAGAGAAGATGAGGCTTCAGTCCAGGAGGCCCTCAGCAGAGTTCCAGGAGAGCTGGTAGGATGACACGAAGGTAGTGGCAGAGGAGTGACTTCAGTAAACACATGAATGAGCACACTGCAATCATACAGCCTCAGGGAACTCAAACAGAGGCCAAGAGGATATGAGAAAGTGAGATTGGAATGCTCACTCACTCATAGTCACACTGACTCCAACAGTAAGCAAAAGCAGGTGACATTTTTTCTTTCAATTAAAAAGCAGTGACTGACTTCATCTCCATCCCCACCAAAGAACTCACTTCTCCAGTGCTCATCCAATAGCTTCTTTCCCTTCTGTGGCTTAGGGTGGTAACAGCTTTCTAAGAGTTAAGAGATAATGCACAGCTTTCTAAGAGTTAAGCGCCCTGGCCTCTGCTTCACCCCTGATGGCTTTCTGAATACTCTTTGCTTACTTTCTTCATTATGAAGACAAGCCATGAAATGCTGGGCTTAGAAGCATAGATTTCTCTCCAAGATCTCTTCCAGTTCAACAATCTCGTGACTGTGTCCCTCTCCTTGCTCCATTTATTTTACTCTTTTCTGTTTTTTTCTTGCTCATACAATCTAGCCTGTGTGAGTAATGTTCATATGGCTATGAGTACAGTTGGTTCTTTGTGATCTGTGATAATAAGAGATGGGCCATGTGGATAACCCCAAACTGCAAACACGGCTCCTATATACAACCAAGGAACATTCCAGCCTGACTAATATTTGGTTTGAGCTGCACTGCTGTAGGACCCGTTAGCTACTTAGTAGTATGTGTGCAGAGATTAACTGGTGTAACCTGGGGAGTGATAGGTATTGAGGCTGGAATTCCCATATTGGCCAAGTGTCTTCTACCAAGCAATAGGATGTTCCGAAACTAGATCTGTTTAGTTTACATGATTAATGCTTTGGCTGATGAGGCATAGCACATACTTGGGGACAGGGTAGGCTGAGGTAAGATAAGGTAAACACTTATTGGAGATTTTTATCAGCTCAAGGACTCTCAGGTCCAAGTGGGACCACATATCTTTATTCCAGAGTGATTCAGCCAGCAGGGGCCTTAGGATCTGATGTCACTGTGATGTATCCTGTGGGTGTCATTGCACTGAGTAAGTCCCTTAGACCTTTATGACATGGAATAGAATCCCATAGGGAGATTAGCTCTCATGGTCCCGATTCAGAAGTCCACAGATCTGCAATGAGAATGGACAACTTCACAAATTAGATGGAAATGAAATCTTAATCAAAATGTAGAGGTGCCACTTTGCTTTTCCTATATAAAGCTCCATGCCTAATAAAACATGACATTCCTTAATGCTGATAATGTTTTCTCCAGGGTATAAATTATTGCCATTTACCTAGACAGCTAATTTTACAACTGATTCAAGAGCTTTAAAAATCACTTCACAATATGTGAAAAATAAACAGATCATGTTCAGGGCAAACATCCTAGGATCATATCCTGCTGTGCTACCTAACCCTTCCTCTATTGATATAGTTTTTAACAGGCTCCTCATGTTTAATTGTAACATAACAGTTACTGTAGGAATGGGAATCACATGACATAAGCATAAAACTGAATGGATTGAAAACACCACACAAAACTCTTTATTATTGGTAAAAGGTATAAAATTAGTATATAAGACTATAGCTTCAAAGTTCTATATGTTGCTTCAGTTTAGATAAACTTTGATTTCTATTTTGTGATCAAAATTGCATGTTTACTTAACCCTTGGAAAATACAGTAAAGGCATCAAAGAAAGTGTAAAGTAACTATCATCTAATATTCAGGGATACCTACAAGTAATTTATTTATTTATTTTATTCTTTTTTTCTATGCTCCAAGATAGTTTGATTATAAATAGATGAGTAGTTTTATCATGATGGTGAAAATTATATAAATTAAAGATGATAGATAGATGGATGATAGGTAGTGCCTAGTTATCTTTAACTGTCAACATGACACAATTTAAGTCTCAATTGAGGGATTGTCAATATCTGGTTGGCCCATGAACATGTCTGTGGGAGACTATCTTGATGCAGGAGGGCATAACTCTCTGGGTAAATGGTCTACAACTGGATAAGAAAGCTAGCTATGAGCCAGACAGTGGTGGCACACACCTTTTATCCCAGCACTCAGGAGGTAGAGGCAGGTTAATCTCTATGAGTTCAAGGTCAGCCTGGTCTACAGAACAAATTCCAGGACTGGCTCCCTAACTACTGGGAAACCCTGTCTCAAAAAACAAAAAAAATAGAGAAAAAAAGAAAGAAAGCTAGCTGAGCATGAGCTTGTACGTGTGAGCCATCAAGCAGCATTTATTCATGCTTCCTTGGCTGGGAGTGAGTTTCGTAGGTTGATCAGTAATCTTCTTTGCCTTCAAGTTCTTGCTTGCCCTGACCTCTCACAATGATGGACTGTAACCTGTAAGCTTAAATAAACCCTTTCCTCTCCTGCATTGCTTTTGATCAGTGTTTTATCACAGCAACAGACAGAAAACTAGGACAGATAGGAAGGGAGGTAGAAGATGGAAAGACTATTGATAGGTGAAGGTAGATGGACAGACAGACAGATTGATAATCGATAGACATTATTAAAATACTTTTGTGTTTTATGTTTTAGTTGTTCATAAGAATTTCATATCATTTTTCTAATGTTTTAGATATTAGACATTTTCTAAAAATACTTTCTAATTTTGTTTATATTTTCATATTTAATTTCATCCAAGTATGATGATTTATTATACAGTTCTGTATTTTATTACTGAAATAGTGTTTCCAGTCCTTACTTCACATAATATGATCATGATAGCCTTTCATAAAGATTTGTTTAAGGCCCTTGAATAAATGGTCAAAAAGCTCTCCAGATACATGGCAACGTCTACTTACAGTCAGACAATACCTCTTTGGCATTGCAGTTCTGTGATGCTTGGAGCTTTGTGCAGGAAAAGACAAGTGATGGCTCAAGATGTTATTTTTAGTTAATTCGTGCAGTTGAACATTTTTCATATTCTTCCAGGATGTTCTGTTTAGAATCTTGGCCAATTTTTATATTGAGAGCATCTTTATTTGTATAAGCTATTACAAACTTTGTATGAAAATATGCATGTGCATACACATTGATCCTTTTTCCATTTGTAGTCATCTTTCAATTTTGTTGATGATTTTAACCCTCAAACTTTTACATTTTCTTGTTTTCAACCCTCTTTGCTTTTATGTCATTATCACTCTTATGCTTTTATGATTATAACTCAGTCTCTACTTTGAAGGTTGAAGAATATTTGAATTTTCTTGTTTTTTTTAACATTTAACTTCATAGTTCATCTATTTCCTATTTTTCATATATTATGATGGGAAGACTTAGGGGAGACTTTTCTGCAAACTATCAGATAGCTAATCCATCTGTGTGGAATGCTTGACTCGCTAAACTCTGATACACATAGTAGGTGTTGTGGTGTGTTGTCTAGACGTTCCTTGAATAATGAAGAATCTACCTTTCCACCTTGGAGAAGCCAGCACTAAATTGCTGTTCTTCTCGGGATTACCTCAGAGGAAATAAAATCTGCCTAAGGAGGGTCCTATCTCCTCTGGAGGCAGCTTCATCCAGCCACTGGTCCATGTGGGACATAGAAGCTATCTCCTCTGGAGGCAGCCTCATCCAGCCACTGGACCATGTGGGACGTAGAAGCTATCTCCTCTGGAGGCAGCCTCATCCAGCCACTGGACCATGTGGGACGTAGAAGCTATCTCCTCTGGAGGCAGCCTCATCCAGCCACTGGACCATGTGGGACGTAGAAGCTATCTCCTCTGGAGGCAGCCTCATCCAGCCACTGGACCATGTGGGACGTAGAAGGCCAGCTGTGGCGGTGGTATCTGAGCCCATACTTGTCTGTATGACCAGAACTGCTGTCATCGCCCCTCTGCCTGAATCTTCTTCTCTCTCATCTCGTCTCCTCTCCCCTCTCCTCCCCTCCCCTCCTATCCCCTCCTCTCCTCTCTGCACACCAACAGAGCAGCCCCTAAGGCATGTCTTATTATCCAGTCTCCACCCCAGAACTGGGAATGTAGCCTCTGACCTACATATACGGACAATCTACAGATCTAAAATTAGTAAAATTTCAAACATTGAACTTTTTATTTCCAAGAGCTGCTGCCGATATTCATTTCAGAGCAAAATACGCCCCAAATCAGTAGGAAGTTGGTCGTGGCTGTTATGTCCCCCAGTTCTGCTGTGGAAATGTCGGCAGATGTGACCATGGGGCACACTGCGGGGAGTAGACGGCTGGGGCCTGGAGTCATCGGAAACCGTCAAGTTCCTGGTTAGAATGCGGTCAAGAATACTCACCAAAGACCCAATTTCTGAGTCATAAGATGCATCTAGCCACGCCCCCAGTGCAAGACAAAAGACAGAGAGGCTATGTAAAGTGTGTTTCACATTCATTGCTTTGCCTTTACTGTCTCAGTGCCACCATTAGACAACTCTCAGGTCTCCTCCAGCACTGCCACTCTTCTGCAAAACCATTTCTTATTTTTGTCCATCTATTCTGTGAGATGAGAGCCTCGGGATCATGCTGCCAAATTATCGCCCACTGAAACTTCCATCAAAATAGTACTTAGCATAAAATGAATGCGGGGGGTGGTGGAAATAATATCCCCAAATACTTCACTATCCTCATCTGAGGACATTAAAAAGTACAGTCTCTGGTTTGTGTCTGCTCTGATATTGATCATCTGACATGTCTTCAGATCACCTCCACATGTATGTCACTAGCCACGGCAATGACCTTTTGGTTCTCATTTTAAAGGAAACTGAAAGCTCTTCCCCCATGAGTTCTCCTAACTGACTATTACTCACAGAAGACGCGATCCCTCGCAGCTTTTATGTTCACTGCCCCCTTCTCTGAAGCTGCATTAGCTCTCATTCCAGCCTCTCAGTTGGATTTTCCTCTGCATTTAATTATATCATCTGCAAATGATGATGATTTTGTTCTCTCTTCAAACATTCATACAGCCTCTTTCCATTTCTTAGTGTAGTGCACTGGACAGCGCGTTCATGAGGAAGGGAGGCAGTGATGGCAGCAGCAGGAATCTTGGTCGAGTTCCTGGTTTTAATTGGGATTGTCTCTGCTGCTCCACCGTTAGCCTCCAGCCAGCTGACGTTTTATGGTACTTCAAATCATCTGCAGAAAGACTGGTCCTTGTTTCCTGGGGCTTTCTTCATCATCTGTAAGTAATACGCTGTGTTGTGCCCTACTTTTTTGACATCTGATGAAATTACCATATGCTCGGCTCTTTTGAAGCATTGCTGTGCTGTAATGTATTAGTAGGAAGCCATTCTTGAATCTCAAGGTAGACTATTTCCTGGCAGCAAGTATCACTGATTCCTTTGTATAGATGTGTGCATGTGTGTACATGTTCATGTGTGTGCATGAGTGTGCTCATGAATGTGGAAGCCAGAGATTAATGTCACACACTGCCTCCTATCCCCCTTCATCTTACTTTTGGAAAGAAGATCTCTCACTGGGCTTGGAGCTCCTGATTGGCCGACCAGCTCTAATAATCTCCCTTCCTCCATTCCTCAGGTGCTACCACATCTGCTCATCTAACGGGGGTGATGGGGGATCTAAACTCACACAGCCATGCTTGCATGGCAAGTACCTAACCGGCTCGTCAATTCTTTACGGAAGCATATACTTTTCACATACATACCCATCATTGAGATCAACCTGTACAGCAAATGTTCTCAAAAGTGAGCAAATGGAACAATTTACAAATGCTGCTGGCATAATCAAGAAGCTATGACAGATGGAAAAGGGAAATGCATTTACTTACCAAGTCGTTTCAACTTTCTTATAGAAAGAAATCACTCCACAGTCAAAAGACAAATAGAAACATGCTAAAAATAGTTAAATGGCAGAGGACCAATTCTATATTTTACAGAAGAGACGCAATCAGTAATGAAATGATCAATGGCTGCAAACACAGAAAATACAATGGGCAATATAATTTGAAGTAGTGCCAAACCCTTTTGGAAATTAAAGAAATATGATTTAAAACCATAATAAATGTTCCTTTAGATATTGGAAACTAGCGAAACTCCAAACATTAACATGCGAGGCTCATTTTAGGCAAGTGTAGAGCAAGGCATGCACATTCCCTTTCATTTTTAGAGGACAATTGGATGATATTTGTCAAATTAAAAGTCCACATCTATTCAATTCAGAAATTCTGATGCGAAGGCTTTATCTTAGAAGTTACTTCACAAAAGAAATATAGAAAGTCAAAGACAAACCAAAACAATTAGCCCCTATGGAAGCTGAACTAATGTAGACATCCCATAGTATGGGGTAATATGTCATAAATAAGAACAGACAGGGATCTGTGTGGACTGACATGGAAATATTCAAATACAAGCCAGTTTTGTAGGTTTTTTTGTCAGACCACATCTCTCACTGGTCTGAAAGTCCCCAGGTAGGCTAGACTGGCTAGCCAGGTAGACCCCGGACCAGGGATTCACTTGTTCTGCCTCTCCAGAACTGTGATTGATCAGAGTTCAAATTCAGGCCCTTGCAAGTCAAGCACTTCACTGAGCTATCCCTGACCCCAGTCCTGTCTCTTCACATCTAAGTCATTTTCTTTTTAAGATACTCGGGGCAATGTTTCATTATAAATATAGAGTGTCCTACAATAATTCTGGGTATAGCAAACTGAATCAGAACATTTCTAATTCTCCTTATTTCCTTCTCATTTTCCAATATTTATAAAATTGTGGAATCCAAGTTTTATGATTGAATTTTCCCATAATGTGTTTTCATACCACATTACTTTTATTTTTAAAAATCATAATTGTAACAATTGTTTTCAATTAATGCATTGCACTCAACATTAGTGGCTTGTACCCATATTCTTTCACAGCTGAATCAGTGCTTCCTGTGGTGGGAACTTTTGACTCATCTTTGGGGCAGTTCTTGTATGTTTTCCTTTTGAATGCTATTTTCCTTTTGAATTCTTTTCTAATAAGCATACTCTTCCTTTGCCTTTAAACACGTCCAGCATTTGAAATCCTATCTCGTCTAACTGCAGAACTCTCAAGTTAAAACATTTCCATAAATGATCCAGATTTTTAAAACTGCACTGTGCACTTTTTATGAAGCAGCAAGAAAAGCAAGAGTTTCCTTTGTAAAGGGTATTATTTTATAAGTTCCTCCTTTGAAAACAGCTCCAAGAATTTGGCATTCTATCAGGAATTTAGTCCCTTGAATCCCAACTCTCCTGGCTCTCTGTTTGTGGTGATTGTTGTGGTAATGGTGGTGATGGTAATGATGACCATGATGGTGATGATGATGGTGATGATGGTAATGTAGATTTGGTTTTCCTTCATCTCTATCCTGCTGGTTAAGAATGTAACTCTGTGGTACAGGGCTTGCCTGGCATGGGCAAAGCTTTGGTTTCAATTCCCAGGTGGGGGAAAAAAACAGGTAACCACTCTACTCATCGCCTTCAAGGTAAATTTTCATTCTCCCATTGTAGCTTCATGTTCCTTGGACTCTGTCCTATCCTGTGAGCTCCCTGCTTGTGTTTATTGAAAATGCATATAAAATATCACCCTACCTTTTTTTTTTTTTGGTTTTTCGAGACAGGGTTTCTCTGTGGCTTTGGAGCCTGTCCTGGAACTAGCTCTTGTAGACCAGGCTGGTCTCGAACTCACAAAGATCCGCCTGCCTCTGTCTCCCAAGTGCTGGGATTAAAGGCGTGCGCCACCAACACCCGCTCCCTACCTTATTTTTATATGTGCTTTTCCTCAAGCAGTACCCCCTCAGACAGTGAACGCTTGCACTCTCCCCTTTTTCCATTGGTTTGACACTGTTGTCTTTGGGTTTGTCTATCCTTACGTAAAAGAAATGGAGAGACCAAGAAGATAGATCAGTAGTTATGAGCACTGGATATTCTTACAGAGGACCAAGGTTTGGTTCCCAGCACCCACACAGCAGCATATGACTGTCTGTATGATGCCCTCTCCTGGCCTCTGCTGGCACCAGGCCGGCATGTGGTACACAGACATACATGCAGGCAGGCAAAACACTCATACACATAAGAAAAAAAATTAAATCTATCATTTTCTTAAAAAAGAGAAATTGAGGGCTGATTTTTTCCACTAAGTATTTGTTAGCAGGTTAGGCCACTATTGCAATCACCCCCAAGAGACTAATTGTCACATGGCATCTGAAGTGTCACAGGTAGACATGTCCTACCCAAAATCTTCTTTTGTCCTTCACTAGGAGAAAGTCCATGTTTCTAGAGGGCATAAACTTCAAATACACTTAACACGAGCTAATGAGTTTAATGATTGGCACGTTAATGCATAATAGCGAACGGGGAAGCAATAAAGGGAGGGAGAAAAGTCCACTTAGAAGCCCTAAACAGTGTAATCTCAGAAGACTCACATCTATTTCTTCGTGAATAAAATGGTGCTATTGACATCTACCTCAAAGAGCTGTTGAGAAAACTCTACAGTTCTGTGTGTGGTGCAGTTCAATATCACTCACCCTCCAAGTAGAAACCCCTTTCAACAAAAGTAGCGGCAATCAACATTGTATTAGTTGAACAGTATTTTTGAGAGATGTTCTTTTCACACTTTAAATAAAACATCTGTACTAATTTATTTAGGGTACTTACTAATCAAATCTTTGATGAATGAGATGCCACTTTAAAAAAAGCAATTTAATTAGCTTTCCTCATAAAATATACATGATTAATAGCAGGCCCAGTGCAAACCACTGATCAATTAGATCAAGGTAATGAGGATAGTGTACCATCTCAAGAACCAGAGTTCCTGAGCAGATGAAGGAGACAAAAGTCAAATCCTGCCTGCACTTTCCTTTTGCTCTGTCAAACTGGAGATAGGCCAAGTTTGAGCTATAAACTGTTGAGCTCCTTCATGGTGTGATCTCAGAAGGTCACAATGCTTCATCATGAATGAAATGGCACTATCAACATCCACCTTAAAGAGCTGTTGAGAAAATTCAATCCTCTGTGTGGTATAATTGTCACATCACCAAATATGTGTTGCTGGAGAGGTTGAGAGCCCTTACTGCTCCTGCAGAGGACCTGAGTTCAGTTCCCAGGACCCACCAATCAGCTCACAACTGCCAGTAACTGCAGTTCCAGGGGACTCAAGGACCGTCCCTTCTGGCCTCTACAGTTACCAGCGCTCAGGTGTGCTCATTTCCATACATACAACATAGACATATACCCATAAAGAAAAAAAAACAGTTTTTAAGGAAGGAAATTCCTTCTGCTGTTGACATTTTTGAGGATTTGGATACATGGAATGTGTCCAGTCATTTACAAACATTGACAGATTCTTGTGTGGAGAGAGGAGAGCTCAGAGCCTGGAGTTTGGGAGCAGCTTAGAAAGAGCCCCTGCCTGCCATATGAGCCAAACTAACCCAATGTTCGAATATATTTGTTCATGTGGAAAAAATGGAAATAAACTTAACAACAGTTTGCTTGATAACTGAATTTATTTCTTTTAGACTTCGTGGGTAATTGTATTTTGAAGACTCTGCATAGGTGGGTTCTCAGAGCCACTGAGGTCTGAGTACCAGCCAGCCAGTACTGGAGGGGTATGGTAAGAAAGGTGGTGCCGCCCCCCCCGGGGGGGGGAGGGGCAGCACTGCTGCCAGGCAGGAAACCCAGGCTTCTTCACTTCTGCTCAAGAGCGCCACCTACTGTGCCACTTTCACATTGTCTAGATCCAACCCAAGTAAAAATGCAATTTGTTGTTTGTTTTGTGTGAAGAAAAGAGCTACTACATTCTTAACCATTCAAATTTGTTTTAATGGTTTTTCCCCTATTCTTTAACTGTCCATGACTTTCGGACACTACAGTGTTTTCTGCAAGTGACTTGGGCATCTGCGGGTTTTGCCCTCCCCTAGCTGGCACCAGTGGGGTGGCTGCATATAGGGAAGAGGTAATGGGGTGACCCTGAGCACTTTGGATGACCTCCAGAGCTCCATGGAATTCAGTTTACAGATCAGGACACCGAATGGGTCTTAAAAAGTCTCCTGCCCAGCACAAACAGCTTATGATTCAAAATGGAATGTGTAAAAAACAACAAAAACCAGAGCCGTGTCTCCACAGGGATCATACGTCCATGCAGGCTCCACACAGTGGAAACTGGTCTAAGTTGTGTCCCTGGAAGAAGTCAAAAAAGAGAAATGAAC